GAATGCTGCACTTCTACGTGGAGCTTAAGGACGAGTTCAGCAGCAGCTGGGGCTTTTCCTGCATTAGCAGCCTCCCCGCTGGCAAGGCGGACGGGAGGCAGGCCAGCAGCACTGCCCTGGAACCCCGGGGAACCACTGTTCATATGGAGACAGAAGCGCAGAGGGGACAGAATCATAGTCCATAGATCATCAAGTCCAACCGCTAACCTAACCCTGCCATCCCACCGCTAAACCCTGGCCCTAAGCACCTCATCCATCCTTCTTTTAAATCCCTCCAGGGATGGGGACTCGACCACCTCCCTGGGCAGAACAGGGGAGAAGTCGGAGAGGTGAACTGCCAGCTTGGGAACTGGGCCGAGAAGGCACCAAACGGCTTCATCCCAGCAACGCAGCGGGGCTGGTACGACCCTGTGATGTCCCCCTGGCTGGGCTCCCTGCACAGCCAGCGCTGCAGAGGGCTCGAGCCCAGCATCACGGGCGCAGGATGAAACCCACAGGGGGGAGCCCAACACGGTGGCAGCACAGGCAGCCACTGCCCTCACTGGCAAAGGTGCCTGGCCTACCTGCCCCAGTTACAGGGACCCTCGAGGACCTGCAAAAAAAAAAGGGGGTTGCCGTGGGTGGGTGCGTGCACGTGTGTGAGGGGGGCTCGGTCAAGCACATCCCTGAAATCCAGGCCCCCGAGAATCGGGGCGTGCGCGTCGCTGGCAAAGGCGCTGCAGCTCTGTGGCGGGGGGACAAGGAGGGAGGAAGAGCTGGAAGAGGGGGGCGGTTGCTGCCAGCACCAGAGCCAGGCTGCAAGGCAGCTACGGGGGGCAGGCAAGCTCTGCCCTGCAGCATCCTTTGCTCCCCAGGTCTTGCCCACTCCTCCTCCACCCTGAAAGCCACAGGGATTAAAAGCCCACGCATCTGGGAACTTCTCAGCTCATTTCACACATGAGAGGAGCAGGGCTGGAAGCCCAGAGAGCTCTCTCCCTGGCCCATCAACTTACCGGTGACTCTCCCATCACCCTCTCGCCGTTGTTGATCCTCATTACCCCTTTGCGCCCATTCCTCTCCAACAAGACACTTATCCAGGTGTTGAGGGGAACCGGCTCTTTGCTCCTAGTGGTGAGAAGGGAGGAGGAGACCCGTGGGTGAGAGTTCTGCCATCCCCGCCTGCAGACATAGAGCTGGAGACCTTTTTGCAGACATAGAGCTGGAGACCTCCTCCCCTGGCCAGCTTGGGCTGCCCAGGCCACCACAGCTTGACGAGCTTGGGCTGCCCAGGCCACCACAGCTTGACCAGCTTGGGCTGCCCAGGCCACCGCAGCTTGACCAGCTTGGGCTGCCCAGGCCACCGCAGCTTGACCAGCTTGGGCTGCCCCAGCTCGCAGCCACCCCGGCATAGGCTGAGGCACAAAAAAAAAAAGAGGCAGAAGCCAGGAGCGGAGGGAGAGCCAACCAAGAGCCATTCCTGCAAACAGCTGAGGCTGGTACGAAGCCTGCATCCCCCTGCTTCCTTACAGTTTTCTGGGGAGGGGAGCTCAAGGCCAGTGATAGCCACCAAAAGCCACCACTGTCCCTCTTACCTGAGCACGGCCGCCCCCTTGCCCAGGTCATATCGGTACTCCAGGTAGCCATCGTGTAAGGCCAGAGAGACAAAGTCCCCCTTGCCGTCTGTCTTCTGCCCGTTGTAGAAGATCATGCCGCTGGGGTTCTTGGCCAGGAACACAACTTCCATGGACATTTTGTCCCTGAGGAGAGAAGGATTACGGATACCCTCTGATCCAGCTGCCCACACGCTCTTCTTCCTCCGCCCCCGGGTGCCGAGCCCTTCGAAACCCTCTGCCTGCTTGGGACCACAGGTAGGGCAGAGAGATGCCACCCCGTAAGGCACCCCTGCCAGGTCAGGGGTAGGTCTGCCACCTTCAGGGTGCCGCTCCGTGGTGCCTGTTTATCCAGCCCAACGCAACGCCAAGCCCCTGCCTGAGGAGCCTTGTTGGCTCAGTCTGGCTGCGGGGATTCTGGCCATGCCAGTCCCCCTGACCAAAACCTCCAAAACCTGATGAAAGGGAAGATCTCTAGGGAGAGCCAGTGTGCGGCAGGCGAGGCTCGGAGCCCAGGCTCTCTCCCCCAAATCAGCCACGCAGGCGATGCGCTCGCCTCTCCCGGTCCCTGGCACTTACTGCAGGTCAGGAACGAAGGTCTGCAGCCCGTTCAGCTCCAGGTAGGAGAAGCCATTGAACTCCGGGAGGAAGGGCATGGTGTGGTCCTGCTCTGTCACTGGGCACAAACGAGGGAAGGGTGAGGAAGAGGAGGCAGAGCAGCTTCAGCCAGTGCCCCAGAACCACAGCAAGCAAGGCCTCCTGGCCACCCAGGCTGGGGAAATCAGCACCTTCAGTTCCACCCCCTTCCCCAGACCCGCTCCTCTGCCAGCTCCCGTCCCACCTAGCTCGCAGAAGTCTCCTTCCCGGCCCATGGGACAGGCGCACAAGGCACCTCCCTCCGGCAGCACCAGGCAGGTGGCAGAGATGTGGCAGGGCGTAGGGTCGCAGGGATTCCTCTCGTCGGCACACGTCGGGCCTGCAGCGGAGAAGGCAGCCTGTCACATCGGCATCCCAAACCACCAGCCATCGGGCGCCATTTGGCCAGGGACAAACATCCTTGATGCCTCCTGATGGCCCTGCCAGCCTTTTTCTTCTGGCTCAGGGTG